TTTTAATATGTGCCATTGTGGTTTTGTTGCATTAATTTAAATACAATTAAAATAATATTTTTGCTTCTTATAAGATTTTTAGTATTATAGAATTTATTTATATTTGATTTTGTAGTTATAGCTATATTTGCAGGTTATATTTTATTAGTAATGATTATTTATTATTGCTGATTATTTATTTAATTCAGCTTACTTACGTGATTGTATTACATTGCATGTAAAATTTAGCGCAAATAAAATGTATATCTTAGCTGCAGATCACACAATTGCTGAGATATATTAATATCTCAGCAACTCTTAGTATTGATTTGGGGTCAAATTTTTAAGTAATTTTAAGGTTGCTGTTAGCTAATAGATGGCACTCAAAAATTTAAACTGTACAATTTTTAAAAACGCTGTTTTTTTTTATCATAATTAATGTTAAACTGCTTTTTAGTAGGCTAGAAGTGCTTTCAGCTAAATTATTTTAAGGGTGTTTATGTGAGCCAAAGATCTTTTTAAAAATAACTTTTAAAAATCACTTGAACGAGGTAAATTATTTTTGTTAATATTATATGAGAGTAGTAAAGAAATTTTATGAAAATCGTTTCCCTCTTTGATATGGTTAAGCAGAGAACGCAGTTCCATCTCTACAGCATGCATTTTCATCTAGCAGTTCTATACAATTGTTCTTCGACTTTCGATGTTTATTCCTATTATAAATTTGAACCGAAGTTTCAGATGTCATTCAAATGATATGAATCAGCACATTCTCCCCTTTGCTATGCAGTCTAATTATCTCTTCCTATCTATTTATCTCTTATCTATTTTTGACTGGTAGCTTGTTACTATTGCGATTAAATAATATACCTATAACATAGAAGTTGTAAATTATTGATCAAATTTTCAGCATAAAATTATCTAAAACTTAATCTTAAATAACTCCAATACATTTCGAAATTAATTAAGTTTATATTATTACTTGTTTACGTTTATTTTCTGAAATTAAGATAGACTGTTTAAATAAACATCTTGATCCCTTAAATGGTTTGAAAATATCTAAAATGTTTATAGTCATTTTGGGATAGCTATTATTGACAAAAATTAACAGGAAATTGCTTTTAATTTTGGAGCATTATTATTCAAAAAATGTGATGCAAATTGTATAAATTTCTTCACATCTCTGAAAACACCTGACACTTCAATTATGAAATTATTTTTAATTAAGTGCTATTTGTGAATAGTACTAATAGGTTTAGATATATATAAAAATGTTTTCGGCAGTTATTTATTATTATATTATTGAAAAGAAGTGATAATGCACTGTAACCTAAAAGATCTTTTGAGCCCCTTAGTCGGATTAGAGTTTTTCTTAAAGTCCGATTTCTTTAAAAAAAGACAGTATGGAGCCTATCTTTCTAATCTTGGATCCTTATGGTCCATGAAATACTCCCCAGGTATTTCTTCCGCTTGTGCAGAAGTGCTGGGCACTCCCTAAGCACATGGTATGCATTTCCTCTTTCTTCTCTTCCTCTTCCTTGTATTTCTCATACAAGAAAACAATACTACTAGTACGAAATTTGTTTGAAACTTAATAGATAATTTCAAATCGTGGGAATATCGTGGGAAAGAATATAGTACTACACTTAAAGTAAAAAGCTATTGAGAGTGAAGTGTAACCGGTGACTAGTTTAAATAATGTAATCAAATTTATTAGTACTTATATATTACTTATTTCTAAAACTATGAACACCTTAGCCATATATTTTAAAGAAGACTTACTTATAAAAAAAGTTAACCAAGATAATATTGTAGAATAAGTCTAAGATATATAGAAGCATCTACATTAATTTATAGGACTACATTAATTTATTATAGCTTTGTTTACTATTTCAGCTGTAAGCACAGTAACAATATCAAAGTTTCCACTGTTTGGTAACTATGTTGCCTGATAACAGCTATTGTAATTATTTTTCCAACCAACTTATTGAGGTGATATTCATAAGCACGTGTAACGTGTAATATATACACTATTTTTACATTATCATCACTGTGGTTTTTATATAGCGACAAAAAGTCTAGATTTGTTGTATACAACAATTCTCTCGTTATTTTTCTTCACACAATTAATGTGCTTCATCGTTACGGCTTAAATTTATCACACAGCTTTTTTAGGTTAGGTTGTTATGAATTTCATCCCTAGCTGTATGACGTCCTTCAACGATTAAATAGCTTTTTCGCAGCTGTATTGACTGAAATCACACCACTGCGTAATGTTACACTATACGAAATATTATAGGTCTATGCTCACCATTAATCCTTCAATTGGAAAAATTGTTTTATTTTGCACAGAAAATGATTGTGTTTTAGTTATTTTATATCATTTTAATAAATCCTCATTTATTTGGAACAAATCACTACTGAATAACTTACTTGTTATACCGTTTCGTAATAATTATTTACTGATTTTATAGTTTTTTTTTTTTGTACTTTATGTTTTAAAGCATTCTTCTTGTTGAACCAGAAATGTTGTGATCACAATAACAGAAGTTTTGGGTCATTTGTTCAATTTTTTTTATTTCCAGAACTGCAGCATAAAAAATTTCCCTCTTTTGTATACTAAGCTCACAAACACTTTCGTCGTTTTTCTAATATCAAATATATCTGTAAAGTATATAAGTTAATAATTAATAATTAAGTAGACTCTTTAGTTTTTATGATTATTTTATGTATTTATTTAATGGTTACTTTGTATTCAAAAAACGTGTGTGGTTCATTTCAAAGCCCAAGTAAAAGTAAACGAGCACACTTTTGTGGAGTTGAGAGCTGCCGATTCTAAACGGGACTATTCCAGACAAATAAGATGATGTCCCGTTTGGTAGCAAACATGCGTTCGAATAATATCGCATGATTTCTCCGTTAATGAAACTAAGAACAGAGCCACATTAGAAAGACTCGGGTGTTAACTTATATAAAAATATATTTTGCGTTCATATACATTGTTTTAAATTACATTAGACATTAATTTCTGATTTTTCTTTTATTTTTCTTTATTATATCTCCATAAATAACTGTGAATACGAACTCCATAACATGATTATATATATGTACTTTATTATTGCGTATTTATTCGATCCTTCAAAAAGTAATTTTGTCCTTGTTGTGTGAAAATAATAGGCAATTTTGGAAAAGTCCACTAATAATTTATTAACTTACACATTTTTCATTTTTGTCAAATACCTTTTCTCATCTTTCCGAAAGTAGCATAATTTCATACTTATAAAGTTTCTGATTTTTGTTGGCTAAAAACGAATCCAACTCTGTTTTGATGTTCTTATCATCCTTTAAAATTCCACTAAACTAACCGAAACACTTTTTTATATATATAAGTTTTTTATATTTTCTACCCCATGATATCTTGCACTTTACATTGTTGTACACAACAATGATTTTCTTCAACGACGATTTCCCTCAAAATCAAATATTTTTGTTGACGTTGGAGAAACAAATCACAAACGTCGAGTGTTGAAATTAAATCAAAGCATTTCAAGTGATCAAAATAGGACCAATGCGGTATAATTAACCTAGCAATGATCTTATTTTGTCATTATTAGTTCAACTGGTCTTTCAGAAACTGTTGTATGAACGAAATTTTTTAAATCACTTTTGGCACTGGCGTCATGTATTCCTTCTATTCACGTTAAATGATTTTTTTTGTATCAATAGATTTTTTTCCTTTTTGTTTGCAAAAAAGGAAAATATCTCAAAAATGCTACCATCGACTTAAATAAGGCCTCAAATAGAAACTGTAGCACAGAATCACACAAACTTCTTCACTTATAAGCCTTGGTACATATATCAGCTGTCCAAGTAGATGATGACAATGTGGCTTAAGAGGAAATACGGAATCATTTAACTATAATAATATATTTGGATAATCTTTTTAACTACTTTAACAGTATTCTTCTTATATTTATATTTTAAAAATTTATAATAAAATTAATTATAATAAAATTTTATATTTATTAATTCTTGAAAAATTACCGTGCGACTGAGGGATCAGGCCTGATAATTTTTTCAACATTTAATTTTTACTTTTGTAAAATAAAAATGTTGCATAAAATATTAATTAAATTTAAAATTTGAAATGTTTAAAAAATAATAAGAAGAGATAAATTATAAAAGATAAGAAATTAAATAATTCTTTTATTTAATAGTTATTTTTTTATGTTAGATAAGACTATGAAACTCAAATTAGCTGCTTAGGCAATTCAATTTTACAATTTCATCGAGGAAGAATTTAAAGGGAGCATTTTAATAGTATAATATAGTTTATTATTATACCACTTCACCGATTACCAATTAACGGAGTTATTTGGCTAACCCTTATTGATTTTAAAATGGATGCATCATACTTTTACATATGGAAATCTCAAAATTAAATAGTTTTGTTAGCAAGTAAACTCTAAGAAAAAAGTCTTTTCTCTTCACTTGTTCAGAAGACTTCTAAATTAAAGTAGGTTTTCGGGATGAGAGCTATTACTGAACTTTGTTCTACATATAGCAAATCGACGTATTTTTAGGCTCTGTCTTTATTATTGAGAAATTTACTATTAAGTAAATTTATTAACATTGACATTTTGTCAATATTCTATATTGGATTTGATGGCTATTATTTGTTTTTGGAAAACTCAGCAAAAAATGAAATAAGCTATGTCATAACTAGGTAATTGTGTACCTTACGAATTTTTTCTTATTTTTAAATGTCAAATGTACCATATCTACTTCAAGATGAAATGATTTTTTTTTTTGAATATGTTCAAATATTTACAACTAATTAAGAAATTAAATTTTTTTAATTAGCATTTATAACTAGTTAAAAGAAAATAATTTTTTTTAAATTGTTTTAAAAGATGTCATTTATTAATTATTGTATAAATTAATTCAATTAAAAAATTAAATGAACAATATGCATTTATTTATTTGTGATGATATTCTTTTTGTTTATCTTTCTTTTATAGACAATGCTATTGGCATGAGAAATCTGCCAGGTTTGGGGTTTGGTGGTAATAATAATGGTAGTATTTGTACGACAAAAACTGCTGTGGATACAACTAAAGCAGAAGCGCCCACAACGGCATCTTACTTCGCCACAACTTACTACCATTTAACCGATGACGAATGTATGTCTATACTAACATCTTAATTATAAAAATATATTATGTATCTTATAAAAATAATAGATATATACATTTTTTTAAATAAACACTTAAACACAAGTCTAACATATAAGTATATAAAATTGATCACATTAAATTGAAGTGGTAAACATGAAAGCCGCTAGTTTTTATTTGATTGAAATTAATTAAAGTTGAAACTAATTAAGTAAATTAGTTTTTATATTATTCAAAAGCTAACCATGGATTTACATTAAAACGTCCAAACAGTTTTTATTTATGTAGGAACAGTTTGGTACTAAATTAATTATTAAACTTTTAATTAATTTAATTAATTGTGTAGGCTTCGAAATTGTAACATATATATCAAGTTTCAGAGATATTAATTGGTTTTTTATAATTTTTTTTCTTGCAATATAATTTGCAGATTTCATCTTTTCACATTTAATTAAATATTTAGATCCTTCTAGACTAAATTTGATGATTTTTTACATCATCTTTTCGATGGATTCGCATGTCAATATATGCTTTGATATATGATTTTTTATAAAGTCTTGCTATTCATTATATACTTGTTAATATACTCATTTATCTTTTAAAACCAACTTCATTTTATTTATCTGGAAGTGGTTGCACACTAAAGTAGATTGGTCATCATCTACTGTTGAAATAAATGTTGCGTTTTAATGAAAGCTATTCAATGTAGTTTTCTAGCTACTGGAATAGGCCGTTCTAAATATTTGGATGCTTTATATATATAGGAGATAATACCTTGATGATACCATTTCTCACCTTACAGACATGGTATTTTCAATAATGCGATTGTCATGTTTTTCATTAGTAGCGTTTCAGCCAATAATCATCTGGATCTTCTTTGCTAAAACGATTCGGATCACAAGTGTAAGTAATTGGTAATGCATTATATTCGTCAGCTAACAATTTGTTTTCAAAACGTTATTTTTCCTATCTACCTCATATTTTCATTTGTTTATTGCTTTGTTTTACTGCGCCATATCATATAAAATAATCGCATTGTCAATAATATTTTAAATTAATTCCGTTTTAATTTTGCATTTATATTTCATATTAAACTAGAATATTAACTTTTTCCATTTCTGTTTTACCGTATCTTTCATATTCGGAGATCAGATAATTGTTTGCTGAAACGACGTTGTTGTTGCTAGTAATTAATTCTATATTTAAAAACAACTCCTCAATGGCTTGTACCGACATTTTGAAGGATCACTTAATACACAATAACTCTTATGTCTAAATTTCAGAAACTTTACAATACATCAGAGAAGGACCTATCTCACCGATGTACAGTGTGACAAAGTTAAAATTAAACGATCAAAATTTGATGCTTCCTGAACCAACAGAAATATTGAAATGAAATTTTCATTATAATTTTTAAGATGGGCAGTTTCTTGTGTGTACTTTGGATGCTATTAGCCTATTGGAATTCGATTTTTTTAATATAAATTTGATATGTTTTATTTGTGCATTATGCGGAATGCATCAAATAATATTGGTGGTTATTGAAGTTCACATTTCAGTAATTTTCTCTTAAATAACAATATCAAATAAATAGATCGGACATTTTATAATTTAGCTTTCAAAGGTCGAAAACCTTTGATACATCACAATTTGTGGCTAACAATCATACCTTCACCAGTTTTATCTATTGGCATCAAATTTTTTCGAAAACGATCAAAAAATTCGATTATATATAAATAAATATATCAAAGTAGAAAGACCAATTTGGCATCAAATCAAAAGATATTTAATAGACTAAAAGTTAGAATACGATTTAAGTTGTTCAGATCAAATATTAGGAATTAGTTTAGATTGTCAGCTCTTAAGTTCCTGTTATTGGTGACTTCGCTTTCACCCATACATTTTTCATTTTTCATTTCTAAGAACAGGTTAGAGCATTTCATTATTATATGAAAACAAATATTAATCTATAAATGTTTCATAAAAACACGAGAAAAAATAGAATGGTCATTTAAAATTAGGTTTGCTGTCCCTTTAATCTGTAATTAAAACTAAAAGTAATTTTTTTGGTTTCTTATCAAAGTATTACATGAATTGTTCCTTGTAAGAATATTGCAGATCTTTAACTGACTACTTGATAGCATTACATCATATCAAGAACTAAAATTAATTGGCATACACTGCCTGTATGCGAGTGCTCACACTTCTTATCTAACAACCGACTAACAACCGTCATCCGCCGTACAGTCCTGATTTGGCACCCAATGTCTTGTTCCTGTTCCCGAACGTCAAGAATAAATTGCGTGGACAACGCTCATGATTTCTGTAAGCGAAAGAAACTCTTGTTACATTTAAGAATCAGGTTGTTTAATTTTGAAGGTGTCTAAAGAAAATTGTAAAAAATGCCAAGTGTATTAATTAGTTCGAGAAATAAAGCAATTTTCAATGACAAGTTAGAATATTTAGGCTCATAAATAAAACAATCTCATAAAACAATCTATCTTTACTTAATCAAAAATTAAGGGTCACCCACTGCCTAATTCATACAATCAAACATCTTTACTACCACTAATCAATCCAGAAATAAATATAATTTTTGAGTTATTTGTTCAATTATATTCCGTTAAAGATTTTATTCCTTATTTCACAAATTTTAAGTTTTACTTTTTTTTATTTTTGCATTAAATCTCTAGATCTTGCGGTTCTCTTTTACAACTGTTGACTACTATTGTGTACTACCCCATCGCCTTATGTAGCCACTAAGAATTTGTGGTTATTAAAGTTAAGTTAGGCTTTTGGTATACAGTGGAAAGTAACTATTAGCTATTAAACACTTAAACAATTTAGGAAAAGTTTTGCATTAATGATGCAGCTCAGCTGCCGTCAGTTTCCACATGCAACCATGAATGATTCGTGTACTTTTATTATTTTTTATCCCTAGTTAACTCGTCGGAAAGGATTACTACATGGTGTTTTTACAAACCAAATTTCTACCAGGAAAACTTTTAATGTACTACAGATATAATTGATTGATTTTTCATGCTATGTTAAAACAACTAACATTATTTTAAAATATAATATAAAAATACAAAAATAAGATACTGAATCATATCACATATATTGATGACACCAGATTTTTCTTAATATACATATGTACAACTTATCAACAGCTGTACGAGCATTAGACCTACTTCTTAATCCTCGATTAAAATTAACTCCTAAATTTGATTAAAATAAATTTGATAATGGTTAGCGCCAATGGTGCTAGAAAAATGTTATTTAGACGGTTAACTGCACCATTTATTTCTTTAAAATCAAGTTATTCACTGATTCAAGCACAATAATTAACAAAACAACGTATTTTTCAATGTAATTTTAACAATTTTAAAACTTTACCAGCAGTAATTGTCTCGTCATTATTACTAAAGACCTATTCTCTTAAATTGTTTGTGTGTATTTGGAGTACAATCAGAAATCTCAATAGGATAGTTCCAGAAAATATAATGCGGAACGAATTTATTTAATCCCTGAAAACGCAATGAGATAGTAACGCAATTACTTTTTGTCACGGTTTTCCAACAAGTTTTCTAAAACATACCATTTTCAATGGCATCTTTTTTTAAAGATTGAAAGCACAGTTATTGGTTGCAAGTCAGAATAATAAGGTGAATGACCCACGAATTCGACGTTTTGAGTGCATTTTTGTTTAGGCTGATGTGTGGGTGCTCCTACTGCCGTGCTGGAGGATGATCTTTCTTCCATGGCTGGTTTTCGTCAATTCTCCGAAGCTTCCCGCAAACAAATATTTGTGTACTACTCAGAATTGAAAGAATTGTTCAATTTGTACAGTTGGGACATGGCCGCTCCGTCCGTGGACTTTTTTCGGGTTCTGCTCACATTGGAATACCCATATAGTAAAATATTATTTTTTTTCGGGCTTATAAACATAGATCCATGATTTGTCACCTGCCGCGATGTCGTAGACGTTTTTGAGCTATCTCAGCCGCATTTTTTTAGAATTTCCTTGCGCCGATGAATACGTACCGTCTTTTAAGCGATAGTCAACTTATGGGGAACGATTCTTATTTGTTTTTGACTGCTTACTGCCAAATTTTAAATGAAATATGGCAATTGTTTTCTAGTTTGTTGACAACTCATTCCGCGTTGTCAAGTATGCGGTCAGGTATAATTGACATGTATAATTCCATTAATTTGACAATCAATTAAAAAAGCGATAGACGTGATATTGGATTATAAGTCAGTTTTGAACTGTCAGTGCTAAAAACTGTTTGCGAATATATAAAATATGCCTTGGCTTTGATGTTCATATGCAATGAAAAAAGCCCAATCCATTATTAATAATAATCATTCTGAAAAAAGTAAAAATTAGTTAATGTCCCGAGTCAAGTAGTGGCATCGTAATATACCGTAGAGTCTAAATGTGTTGGACTGCCTGCCCCAGTAACCTAACCTAACCTACCAAAATAATATTTTGTACTCAAGTATATATTACATGATAAACAGTCATATTTATTTTATAGAGAATACTTATATTTACTAACAAGTTAACTTATATTACCAACGATTTTCTTAAGAGATAAAAATATTTCTTTATGTTAAAATAGAGACTAAAAATAAATATTATTTATTTTTTTGACATTTGATCAGCATATGTTTTTATGTTATTATATAAAAAATTTATATTTTAATTTATAACTTATTAAAAAAAAATTAATAATTGTGTTGTAAATATTTTTTCTAAATTTTAAAAATTTCGTAAATATTTTGAAAGCAATTTTTTCCTTTACTAGTAATATTTATTTTTTTATATATATAATTTTACGTCGGTCTTCAATGTTTCAATCGAAGTTCTTTATAATATTTTATTAATAATTTTATTTTTTAACGGGCTAATTGGTCAGTAGTTAAATAATACACTTTTTAAAAAGTTGTTTTTGGTTTTTAACAAATTTTATTTATACCGATATTTCGACTACCATCTATAGTCA